TAATGGTAGCAGTATGCCGAGCATGAAGTATCCTGTTCTCCTCCTGCCAAGTAAATACCAGTTTTCCCCTTTTGTGGTGCACTGAAAGGACAGTTTCCACTCTTCTTGTGTGGCAGTGGCAATGGTAAAAGCTTTCAGCACAAGCAATTAGTGGCACAGTGGAAGAGGCCATTGGGATTTACTTTAGGTCACAGTTACTTACTTGTACTGTAATTTTCTCGTTTGTGTTATTATGTCCCTGTAGAGAACTGTTTGTTGTAATGTATCAATGCAAAAAGAAGGCAGACTGGCTTGGAAGAAACAATGGATTCATTCCACTGGATAGCCTGAATACTCAAATCGTATTTTTGTTCTTGGCAACAATGACAATGGGAATCCTAGTCTCGGATAGTCACTTGGCAGTTTTCTGTATGGGTCTATAGATGATTTTATGGTTTGATTCCCATGTATTAGTATGTATCTGTCCTAAAAAGAAATTTGGAAGACTTTTCCTCAAGGATTAGGGACTTTATTGGAAGCTATGGAAAGAGCAGAAATTCAGGTTCTAGTTTATAGCACTTTCTAGTTATATACCTTGGATCATTTGGCTTGTGAGGATTTTGATTTTCTTAAACACATAGCGGAGATATAGCCCCCATGTTGCCCTATTGACTTCATAGTAGCTTGAAGATCCAATGTGATGCAATGTGAATATGTTTGGGTTTCCACTCCCTCCATTGTGCAATACAAATCTTTTTCAGACAGGACTATTGTAGGTTAATATATGTGAATGTGCTTGAGGATATGGTTTCCAGAAGGGAGAAACAATAAAACCCTAGGATGAGGTATTGAACGGAGTTATGGAATCATATATTGAAGCCACTAAAACCAGAAAGGTGCATTCTTTGGCAGATAGTGTGAACACATTTTCAGGCATAGAGGAGGACTGTATTATTTCTGATCATTCCTGTTGGGAAAATGGATGAATGTGCCCTCTCTTAGCCAGCTGGCATTTGCAGAAAGAGAAAGAAGGCCAGAACTGAGGGGCTCAATCTTGCACTTGAAGCTCAGAACAAAACCCAGGCCTGGATGCTGAGAGGCATCGTGTTTCTTCATCTTTTTAAAAAGTGAGCCACATAGGAAGATTTGAAAGTCTGGGTTAGTTTTGGTGAATTCATTGTAGACATATGGTAAGAAGCCTTCAGTATCAAGAGAGTGCATTCCCCTTGCATCTTTATCAAAGCCTGAAGTCAGCTAGTTTTAGTTATGAGATTAACTGTATCTCTATTACTTTCTTCAAGGTCTTTGCAGAACCTGCAGCCAACTTCTCTCTCACCTTCCAGGAGTCACTAGAACTAGCCAGGGTGCACCACACATTACTTCCTGGGTCTGGAATTCCCCTAGCACCACTATACAGCTGGCATTTATAAAGCACTTACTCTACACTGGGCACCATTCTGAACTCATTCATGAGGTAACTCGTGTAGTTTTCCTGCTACTCTACAAATCAGGAAAGTAAGACAAACATAGCTTGGAAACGTTCCACTTAGTAAAGTTAGGATGAAAATATAACTCTGTGTGGCCCGGTACACGACCCTTTTAGTGACATTTTGGTGTCTCTCCTAAAGAGACTATTTTTTGCCATCAAAATCCTCCACAGCTTTTCTTTTTCCCTCTCAGAAAGCTGGGGAAACATGAGGAACAGAGCCTCTTTTTCCTATCACCCTCAGTTGTGCTTTCCTTTCCATGACTTTCGGCCTTTTCTTCTGCTCTTGCTACTATGTAAAGGCCTCCCCCAAATGGAAACATTATACCTTCTTTTGTGCTCTTTGGGAACTCATATCAGCTAGGCTTCAGGGAGAAGCCCGTTTATGCCTCCCCCTCCCCTGCAAGCCAAGATAGAGTATCTGGCCCCACAGTTGAACTGCATTCTGAAAAACTATGTGCCTGTCCAAGAAAATAACTAAGAGACATTTTCAAAGTATCGTTTCCCAGCACTGATGAAGTTGTTTTTGCTGAAGAGTAAGCAAGAGTCTAAGACCGTCTCTACAGCAAGGAAGAAATCAGAAAGTGGAGAAACTTGCTTTAAATCGACTATAAGGGCATTCATTCTATTCCCTTAGTTTGGTTTCCATTTCGAATTTTTCATGTATTTTTTTTTTCCAAGAAGGGGCCATGTTTAGCTCTTCAGTTCCACGATTCACATTTCTTTCCCTTTTTCTTTTTCTTTTCCTTTGTTTCTTTTTCTTCTTTCTTTCTTTCTTTCTTTTTTCTTTTCTCTTTTGGTTTTTTTTCAGACAGGGTTTCTCTGTGTTGCTTTGGAGCTTGTCCTGGAACTTGCTCTGAAGCCCAGACTGGCCACAGAGATCCACCTGCCTCTGCCTCCCGAGTGCTGGGATCAAAGGCATGTGCACCACCACCGCCTGGCCTTCCCTTTTTCTTAAGAAATTAAAGATAGTCTGTGGACATTTCAAATGCATGCAGTTTTTGTAAAGACAACAATTTCCATCCTTAAAAAAAGGGGGGGGGGATAAGCAGTGGTGTGTTTAGGAAGAGTCCCAGTGAGGGCCCAGTGATGAAGGTATAGCAGAGACCAGGGGCCTCGAACCAGACCAATGAATGGCACTTTGTTATGAATGCCTGCATGTAAAAATGTGTGGATGAAGGGCACAGGACTTCTTGATGTTTCCCTGGAGGTGGAGGGGACAAAGAGAAGTTACACGTTTTTTAAAATAACAATTTCTTATTAATTGTAGTGCATTTTGAACTTATTTACCCTTTCAACTTCTCCCCTTACCACATTCCAAAGCCTCTTATCCTTTCCCACCCAACTTTGAGATTATTTATTTACTTTTCTTCTTCCCCTACTGAGTGCAGAGTGTGTTGCACAAAACCTGTGTTGACTTCAGATAAAAATCCCAGTACAGAGGGGCAGGGAAGTGTAATCCCACCAGCAGTTGAGGAGCCATTAGCAAAAGTTGTTTGTTTAAGCATTTAGATTAAATGCTTGAATCCAAATTGCACTGCAGCACGACAGAAGGGGGCACACACACAGAAAAAAAAAATCTCTTTTGTGAATATGAAATTGGCACCTGTACTCACTCCCATATAACTACCTCGGTCCCCTTTGGATGGGAAGTAATTTACCTTGCCTGATGTGGGGACGCTTATCAACTATGAGCATAGGCCCAGTAGGTGTGGATTCCTTTGCTCCTTTTCTGTCCCATTGTTAGATACTTATTGCCAGATTTCCAGTTGGAAGCAGTGCCAAAAAACGGGCTAAGACTTTCAATTAGAAGAAAACGGTGGATTTTTTGTTAGTCATGCTGATGAAAAATGAGACAGAGTTGCAAAGATTCGAGTTATCAGTTAGATATTCTAGCCCTTTTTATTCTAGCTCGCCCAGCTACTTATGAGAGGCAGACTAGTCACGTTGCATCAATTAAAAACTGTCTGGCAATCAGGACTTCTTGCCTTTGCATTGACATGAAGTAGAGATCCACACTAGGCAAAGGGAGCCCTCTCTGAATATCTATGCTTAATTGCCTTACCATTAATGACAGGCTGATCAAACAATGTTGACAACACTCATCGTTGTTCTAAACTTTATCTAAATGGAATTATGAGATATATATATATATATATACATATATATATATATATATATATATTATACTTTTATACTTCTTGTTCCTTTGCCATTCTTTTACATGTAATCTGGTAGATATTCACACTCTGTAGTTTGGTTAGATAGTAAAACTACAGGATCATGTGATAGAGGTAGACTTAGCTTTACTAGATATTGTCCAGTTTTCCAAAGAAGTTTTACAAACCAGCACTTTCACCTGCAATGTATATGAGTTCCAGTGGCTCCAATGTTCTCTTTCTTATCATCAGTTCTTTCAGATGTACCCATTCTGCTGGGGTTTGATATCTCATTGTGGATCGAATTTGCATTTCTCTGATGAGTAATAGTGACAAATGCCTATTTGTATACTTGTAGGTCATATAAATATCCTCTTCTATGGACTAATAGTTAATTTGTTTTGCCTTGCTTTTGACAATTACGTTGTCTTGTTCTTATTGATTTATAGACATTTAAAATATATGAATAAAGTAGGTATAAACTTTCTATTGGGAATACTTTCTGAATATTTTTAAAAACCCTATTAAGGTGTCTTTTGATTGACAAAATCACCTATTTTAATGAAAATAACAATTAGCTAATTTGGGGCACATGTGGTAAATCTTTATTTTCATAAGATCATGAAGGTTTTCTCTTATGATTTCAGCTACATATCTGTTTTATCTTTCAGATTTAGCTCTATCATGCATTTTAAAGTTGTTTTTGGTATTTGATGTATGGTCATGGTTCCATTGGTTTGTCTTTCTGTGTACCAGTACTATATAGCCTTAAAGATTGTAGCCATAAATTTAGCCTTGATATTTTAATTTTTTGTTTATATTAACATCTAATATTGCACATATTCATAGTATATGTCATAGTATTTCTGTATTCACATACAACATTCGCTAATAGAATCAGGGTAATTAACATGCTCTGATTGGCATTTTGAATTCCTATCTTCTAGTTACTCAGAAAATATACAGTTTATTATCGTGAACTTACTGTGTCATAGAAATTCAGAACATATTCCTCCTATTTAACTTTGTTTGGTACCCATTATCTGACCTCCCTTTATCCTCTTTTCCTGTGGCCCTTCCCAGTTTCCAGTAGTCAGTATACTGCATTCAAATCGAGAAATTTTAGCTTCCACATATGAGAGAAAATGTGCAATGTTTGTTTATCTTTCTATGCTTCAGGCTTGATATCTGGTAATATACATCTTCTAGTGTTGTTCTTTATGAGGCCTAGTTCTTTATATATGCTTATATGTTTTAGAAGGATTTTGCCTGAAGTGTTCTTCAAAAGTAGTGTCGAGATTATTGATTCACTGGCCTCTTCTGTGTCCCACTAACTTCAAAATCTAGGTGCTTTTTTGAGGAGACCAGCAGCGTGTTTTTTGGCAATACCCATCCTTGTTGAGAGAACTTCCTGCCCAGGGACCAGCCTAGAAGTTAACTAATTACAGGTAAGAAAAACTAGTCCTGCACACTTCAAATTCCATTCCATGATGCAGTTACTAACAGTTATGCTGACATTTCTCATTCCTTGGTAGAGACTTTCAACCTTTGGACTAACTTTATCTTCAACCTGTGCCCAGAATTAGCAAATGCCACAGAAAATGCCTGCTACCATCAGCTCACATTAGGAAGCCCTCTGCATTTTTTTCCTTGTTTCCACTCCTTTCTGGTATACTTAAACCTACTGATTTTGTAATTTCTTTCTTTTCTTTTCTCTGTGTTTTTTTTTTTTTTAGTTGTTGCAGGAGCATCTGCAGCCTATTTGAAAGCGGAACTCCAGAAACCATTTTCTAGCTGTAATCCTTTTGTCCATCTGAACTCTATTACAGGTGAGTAGCTCTCAATAGTTTGGATAAATTCAGCACATCAGAAGAGAGGGAGCAAATGGACACATCTGTGAACCTCCTTGAAACAATATATAGTGATGTGAACCCCGTAGGAAATTTATGCACTTCTCTCCATCAGTTTGTGTTAGACACATTCAATTCAGAATTTAGCCAGTTTCTAAGGATATCAAGTGTAAGGAACATTCTCACTTCTATTCCTGTTTAGGAGAATGAAATATCATCTCTGTGCCCATTAAAGTTAATATAGACACCCAAATGCATCTTCTTTGACATGGGTCTTTGGAAGTAATTTCTAGGCTGACTTCTACTCTCCACTATGTGACTGGCTATAAGTAAGATAGGTAATACATATGATTCTCAATTTTCCCAATCGTAACTTCATATAGTTATTTTATTGTAAATATAAGACATTAAAAGGTAACATTGGTTTCCTGGTGCTTTATATGTAATAGTACTTCCTTCTACAAATTGAGGATTTATTACTATATTGTGGACATGCCATCTCAGCTAACATATCCTTTTCAGGTAGGAGACTGTGTATTTTTGGTTACTTTAGGAAGGGTGATATACAGTAAAAAACACACTAGTGATCAATGAGATCCAGCAACTTCATATTCTTATATAACCTAAACCTCCGTAAAATACAACCATTAACACCACTCTATCCAGTTCACTTATGATTCTCTTAATTACTTCTCATTTCCCTAGATATAATTATTCTTTTATTTTTGCACCATAGATTTTCTAGCATTCTATAAGAATAATATATATTCTTTTATGTCTATTTTTTCACTAAGTATATTATTTTATATTAATACATATCTCTATTAGCAGTGCACTTATTTTATAATTATGGTTAGTGTCTTACGGTGTCAATATTCAACAGTTGTCTAAAGTTTGGCAATTGACACAATCCTCAAATATCATCAACAAGTCCTGTAACACCACCAGCGTCATGCCGTAATTGGTCACCATCATAATCAAATTAACATCCCAATTTCTCATGTAAATCAATGAAGAAACTATTGTCAGCTCTACAGGATTCATCATCAAGAGACAATTTGCTATAGCTTTTCAGTAATATTTTATCTATTGAGAAGACCACCAAGATGTGGAATCAGTGTCAGTTCATCTAATAGTTGATAGACTTAATGATTACGTAGCCTAATTATTAAGAACAAATGAAGAGCTTTTCCAATTTATTGCACAGTAACATCTGTCCTGAGGATGCAGCACAATTGGAAACTTTAGTGAATTAATAACTAAAGGGACCAATGCATTTAGCAGTTCAGATATAAATTGCAATGAGGCAATGATGCTAATATAAACAGTTAAAGACTGAGTGATGGTACATCCTTTCTCAATGGAGATGTTCAGGAGGGATATGCAGATAATTACTTATGCTCATTTTATTCTGAAATCCCTGAGTAAAAATAAATGTCATGAGAAATCCAAAGGAAAAGAGAGAGGCAATAGATGGACAATTCTTGGTAGCTATATCTTATAGCTATAACCTGCAGTATGGATAAAAGTTCAAGGATGCTAATCATTGTATTTGTCTTTTCCATTATTAGATCTGATGTGCTGTGTTGTCTTGGATGTGACAATCTGGTGGTGATTATAATAGTAATCCACTACTGGTACAGTCATTTTGTAAGAGATTAACCAATAGCAGCAAAAAGTTCTTAGTTCCACTGGACTCATTCCACACTTGATCACCATCATAATCACAATACCTGCTTCATTTTCTCCACCAGGCCAACAGGAGGACCATTAATCAGTTCCACTAGATCCACTGTTATCAAGAACTCATTTGCTTTTAGTAATATTTTATCTCTTCAGAAGAAGGTTGAGCCATGGAGCCTGTGTCAATCCCTGCACTAGTTGCTGGACTTATTGATTGTGTAGCCCAGTTAATAAGAATAGCTGAGGAGCTGTTGCACTACATGTCACAGGAAGAAGTTCTTTCTGCACAACAGGATGGTGCAGCAGAAGAGGAGGCGGCAGTTGTTCCCCCTCCTGAGGAAGACACCCTACCAGATCTTGCTGATATTTCTGATTTAGAATCAATACTTTCAGTGGGAGATGATGAAGACCTAGTCCTTGACTTGGATGAAGCTATGATAGATATGAATGACATCTATGAGGATATACTCCCTGCAATAAAGGATGATACAGAAAGTGAGTAAGATTCAGCATGTGAAAACCATCACTTTTCTATTTCAAATAATTTTTATTTCCTAAGCTTTAGCAATGAGTGTTTTGCTTTTCTTCTTTTACATATTTTCATTATTAAAAATTTGTTGAATAGGTAAGCCTTGATTTCTTTTTGGCCAAATCATTTTTTCTAATTTTTTAATTCAAAGGCTGATGTTAGTTATGTAGTTCTTCTTTTCCTTGTACTATTATGATTCTTCATAAGACCAAATCATAGCAAAGAAAAGAATATACCTGAGAATAGAGTGAAGAACTGATGAACCCTACCACAGGCAGATACCCAATGCCATTATTCTGGGATAAATGGAAATTCTAAGGGTAATATTCCGCAGCATGGAATTATAGTACATAATTTCACAAGGACAGTTCAATGTTGAGACATTGCATTTTAAAGAGAAAGGTTTCTATGGCAGAGAAAGGTAAATAATTCTGAAAGTGAAACATCTATCAGGCAATGAAAGTATAGAAACATTTTCCAGATTTACTGGGGCCAAGATATTCCAATGAAAGACTGCTTCCACAAATGCTGACGCATGTTGCAACTTGTTTGCAATATTGTTCTCTGATTGAAACTGAAGCTTGTACTAAAGACCAAAGAAAGAAGTTCTAGAATGGCAAGATAAGGCCCCCAAAAGACTTTATCAACAAAAAGTCAAACAGTTAATTCATCGACCTGGAGAATATGGTCTACAAAAGGAAGTGGACAGTATATATCTTCTTGTGTATAAGTTTAAGACAGATTGAAAGCCTGATGTAGTAGGATGGCTACCAACTTAGAAATATTTGTTATTAAGAGGTAAAATTATAACAAGATGTGGGCTGGTATTGGGACATAATTATCTTTGTGTGTTAGAAGGTGAAATATAATAGTTGAAGCACTCCCATGCTGAAACAGAAATCAACTAAATAAATGTGCAAGAAATTCACTGATTATGCCAACCTATGCCTTCAAATTTTTTTATGGTCCATGGGCAGACAGTATATGGCCTTCTTACCAATTTATATAGAGTTTTAAAGCATGCCATAGTAAAAAGATTAACAGAGCATTTAATACAGATGATTTCAGAGTTAACTAACATGATAGATACATAACAAAAATAGGATAAATGAAAATCTGTGCCACCTGGTACTGTAGTTGTTTGGTACCAAATAAACACACAGGGGCTTATATTAATTATAAACTGCTTGGCCAATGGCTCAAGCTTCTTATTGGCTAGCTCTCTCTTAATTATTAACCATATTTTTTTTTAAAAAAAAACTATGCATTTCCATGAGACGGTGGCTTACCTGTAATGCTCTGGTATGTTACTCCTTTGGTGGCTGCATGGTGTCTCTCTGGCAACTCTTCCCTGCCTTTCTTCTTCCTAGAATCCTCCTAGTCTGGTAGTCCTGCCTATACTTCTTACCTAGTTACTGGCTAATCAGCACTTATTCATCAACCAAGAAGAGAACATATATTCACAGGGTACAGAAGGACATCCCCATCAAAACTTATGTGAAAAATACAATCACCAGGGCAGTGTATTGTAAGAGTATTGCTACAATTACTTTTTTGTGAGCAAACTGAATTGTATTTCCTCAATGTAGAAAATATTCTAGGTATACAAGTTTAGCCAAAGAAGCAAATAGGCAATGCACTGAAAATCAACTTCAACAGATTGGAGAAAAGAAGATACTGTTAAGATGTAACTCTATTTCAAGAAATGGAATGTTGTATCAACTATGCTCATTATATGGAACTGGATTAGAAATAGAGTATAGAGTTAAATGTGACAAAGAGCAAGCTTAGCAGTAAGAAAATACTTAAGCACAAAAGCTAGTGGGGGAGGTATTTTCAGTAGAGAGAACATTTTAAATTGCCAAGAGTTACACAGCTGTTTGAGATGGGGTTACTTCCCAAGTAATGAAAATTAGCCAACCCTAAGATATTGCTGGAAGTGGCTAGATGGTATTTGATATAGATTAAGTAGATGGTTAAATTAAAAGGAGAAATGCTAATAATATGCTTATTGGATGTCTCCAATTGTGATATTGAATCTCCTCCAGGAGAGTGCAGTGTGGCTAATCCACTATCCGAGTAGCCTTGCTTTGGAGTTTCCTGACGTCAATCCCAAAACCAGATTTTGCATGGCATAGAGAAATAGAGAGGGAACAAGGCTATATGTGTTGAGATAAATTTAAAGGTGTTAAAATCAAGAGAGATAGATCAAGAGGTAGATGGCACCGAAGTGGGTAGTACAAATCTTAATGCTTTACTGAACTATATATGTAATGATTTTTCAAGTTATTCTGTTATTATTGCTTATGATCTCTATTGACTATTGTTTCAAAGTGCTTACTTATTTTTAAAGAAATTTTAACTAATAAACTTTGATTTACACACCAAAGAACTTGTTGTCACCTTAAATCAACCAGTAGTAAATTTCTAGGCTATCAAACGGCCAAAGACTCTGTTCAACAGAAGATTATGGAATGTAATCAATGAGAATGTTGTTCAAAGAGCCTGACTATCTACTTGTGACTTGTCAGATGATCTCTAAGAAGTACGTTAACCTGATGCTTCATCATTCTTAAAATGAAGATTACATGCTTTCCTGCTTATTTTCAATGGTAAAAAGGAACAAATGAAATAATACAATTTTTAAAGGCTTTGGTTTATCTGAAAATGGATTACAATACATGAAATTATGACATTTCTAAAGTCATTCCATACCCACAAATGTCAGTTTAAAAATACCTGAAGATTTAATTGACATGTAAGGACAACTCAACAGTTTGCACCTGTTACAAAGAGACAAATGCTTCCTCATTTTATTTTATGTAAAAAATTGTAATTTGGATTTGGCTTTTGTTTAGTTCTTTGAAGCATAATTTTTCACCAAATTATATACTTTTGAAGAGCCTATTTGAATTCTGGTAGGAATAATTATGAGAAAAATCTACAGTGAAAATAACCCTTTAGGGAATAGTGAATTATCCTCTACTTTATGCTAAGATTTTGTTCCTGCAGGCAATACTGCACTGGTTTCTTTTCTCAGGTTGAATTTGTTCCATTAGATCATGGGATAGGACCCACTTGAATTAATAATTAGGCTGGGAGGTATGCAGGAGCACTTGCTGTGTAAATGTGAGGACCTGAGTGTGCAAATCCCACAAACCCATGTAAAGCCCTGGGTATGGTTGAGCATGACTGTAAGTAACCACAGTATTATGTGTAGAGAGGAGGATATGCCAGGCAGGATGATTACTGGAGTTTCTAGGCCACCCACCTAACAGTTTAACAGAAGAGTGATGGAGTAGAACACTCATTGTCCTTCTTTGGCTCCAGGACATGTGAATGAGTGACTACATCTGGGACACACTCCTGTGTATATCATGTATCACAGCTGGGGATGCACAAACTCAGACCATTATTGCACACATAAACTATTATTAAATATGTAAAAGGGGAAAGAAAGAAACACAGGGGACAAAGTAAAAAAAAATAATAAGGTCTAGGCTGGGTGGTGGTAGCACATGCCTTTAATCCCAGAACTCAGGAGGCTGAGACAGGAGGATCATTCTTTGTGAGTTCGAGGCCAGCCTTGTCTACTGAGTAAGTTCTAAGACACAGAGAATTCCTGTCTGGAAAAAACAAAACAAAAGAAAAGAAAACAAAAGGAACTACTGAAACTACTGAGCCAGGAGTGATTGAACATATCTGTAAACTCAGTTCTTGGGAAAAGAACAGGTGTCCAAGAAGCTACCTTCATGAGACCTTGTCTCAAGCCTGCAGATTCATCCTTATGTGTGTGTGTGTGTATGTGCATGCAATCATCCTTATGTGTGTGTGCATGCATGAGCATGCAAGCACTCTCTCTCTTCCTCTCTCTTTCCCTCTTTCTCTCTCTCACACACACACCACCACCACCACCAACAACAACAACAGCAAAACTAAGGAAAAGAGAATGGATATAAGAATAATAAATAAAAATCAGTATGTCTTTCTTGTCAGTTTATTAGAACACATAAACCACACTCCTGTAAGAAATTTTGTTTTACAGTTTTTGAAAGATTTATTTTATGTGTATTGGCGTTTTGCCTATATGCATGAATGTGTACCACATGTGTGATTGGTGTCCATAGAGGTTAGAAGAACTGAAGTTACCAGATGGTTGTGAGCTACCACTTGGGAACCAAACCTGGGGCCACAAGTGCTCTTAATCACTGAGTCATTTCTCTAGCTCCATTTCCAAGGAATTTAAGGGATTTAGTTTATCACGAAAATGATAAGTTCAGGTTCCATAGAGAATATAGTGAAGATACAGTTAGGTTTCATTTATTTATTTATGTCCAGTCTAGAAATTACCTGTATTGTTTTGTAATATCCAACTGGACGATAACTGTAAAATAATCAGTGATCAAGTGTATTCATACTATAATATAAATTGTGAAGATCGTTATCTTTACAAGTTTTGTCCCCAAATACACTAAAGTTAAGCTTGTAAAACATCTCCAAAGAAGGAGGATTACTGTTTATCCTCTGTATTTCAATCATGGAGAACAGTACTTGACAAATATTAGTTGAATGATAAAATGTCTTCCTTTGAAAGAATCAGGTGATTACATTTTTTTGTCACAAAGGAAAGACACGGAAGTGCGTGCATCACAAACAAATGGGTCTAACTGTAAGGCCTATCCAACCACATGTATGTTTAAAGTTGTAGTGTAGTCGTTTTTCACTCCCCAACACAGAAGTGTTAGAAAAATACTGAGTTTTGCTTTGATTCTGTGAACATTGAGAGTTTTAAGGTGCCAGGAATCAGAGATGATGATCTCAGCTTACCTCTTTCTGGTGATATTTGATTGCCACCTTCAGCTTGGCCAGGTCATGGTACTTCTGTGGGTCAAGTTCTTCACTGTGGTCATCACGATGGTTGAGGATGATCTCCAGTTCTCGGGAGCTACGAGCTTGGTCCAGCAGGTCCTTGGCAAAGAGCTTGCATTGCTGAGAGAGCTCCTCATACTCAGCCTTGAATTCATTTTCCACCTTGCTTAGCTCTTTGAGTTCCCAGCCCAGCCGGAAGGCAGTTAGGATGGGGTCCTCACTTGATAAGGCAATGAGGGATGGGCTTGCCAGAGCCTTGTAGATGTTCAGTCGGGACCTTGAATGACGCAGGCTGTCTACCTCTGAACTGGAAACACATTCTACACAGTTGCAGCGGATTTGGTGGGGCCGTGGGATAGTGACTCGCTTTTGGACAAGCAGTTTGATGATTTCATAGTTGTTGGTGTGGGCAGCCAACATGATGGGAGTGATGTCTGGTGTGAACTCAGAGAACTGGGTGTCCATCATCAGAGTGGGAACCTACACACAATAAATTAGAAACACAGAGAGACAGGGTTAGAGTTAGGAGCACAAAGGAGTATCTGTCGGTATTTCAGAAACAGAAATCTCCATTCTCTTGTGACTTCTCACACAGTTAATGTTTGTGGGCTACTGTGTGGCACTTCCCTAAGATCTTTATTGCATTTACTTATTTAATATTCACAACCTAGTTGGTAAATATTCTTCCCATGAGAAGAAGCTGTGAGAGGATAATGGACACACCTGGATAATGGACACATGTAAGTAGTAGAGTCAAAATTCAACCCATGTAGTACAACTGTCAAGATCAGCTCTTAAAATTATGTCACCACAATATGACCAGTTCTATCTAACAGAATTAGGGAAACAAAGAAGTATACGATGTTGTTCTTGCCAGATGCAGATGGAGAGAACAAGGCCAGGCGGCAGAAACACATAGAGACAGCTTACCTGAACAAGGAGGAGCTAACGGGCCACCAGACTGATATCTGGGAAGCCAGCATGGGACTGACTCAGCCCCCCCCTGAATATGGGTCTCAGCCAGAAGGACTGAGCAGTCTAAGGGACCTCAGACAGTGGAGCCAGGATGTATCCCGTGCACAAAAGGTCCTTACGAACACATCCCCAATGGAGGGATAACTGCCTTAATCTAGAGACAGGAGAGAAGCCCTAGTCCCTACTTCACATGACCTGTCAGATCTACATGACCCCAACTGGATGGCATTGCCCAAATTCCCAAATATTGTCTATAAATGTTTGTTTTCATTTAAATGGACTTGGATATATATATATATATATATGTTGTTCTTGGCCTTCTGGCTGAGTTGCACAAACCTTAAAGTCCATAACACTTTAAGATGTTATATGTTTAACTTTAATTGAGCTGTTGAGACTTCTGGAATATTAACTTGAGAGACCAAAGACAAGCCATTACTTTGAAGACCATGCAACTAAATAAAGCCACAATATTAAAAGAACCAATTCTTACAAATGGTATTGACTTTGTATGCATATGGGATGTTAGAGTACTAAAGGGCAGACCTGATTAATTCAGTTTCTTTTTGGTCCAGGAAGGTAGAAAGAATTGGGTATTGTCAGTGAGAAGTAATATTGTAAATTAGAAATTCTAAGCTTGCAGCAGCATTGATAATGACAAGAGGGTATTTGATAATGCTGTTGTGTCTAGGATGTGATACTTGGTTGAAATGGTATCTATAGCTAGAATTCATTATGTGCAGAGTTCATTGTGTATTCATTAGCACACCTGGAGAAATGCATAGACCCTGGTCAGTGAATTACAGCAGTCTTCCAACTTGAAAATAAATCTTTGGGGATTTAGTCTGTTTTCAGGCAAATAAAGAAAGAAAAAAAGGTCTGGGGTCACAGTTGAGTTAGTAGAGTGTTTGTCTAACAGCAAAAAACCCTGGTTTCAATACCCAGAACCATATAACAAAAATAATATGGACAACAAGAGCGTTCATTGGACTCACATAAGAACTAGAAGATGGAGGAGGATTCAGACAGGGAAGGGAAGGGTTTTAGAAGGGAGATCTGAATGTGCAAAGCATGGATAGAATTCCAGCAGACAGGGAAATACTTATTATATTTGAGGAAAAATAAGGGTATAGTGTCAAAGCCCATTTTCCATGGGGAAAAAAGAGCGGCGACATCTGGGAGTCTCATAAAATAGAAAAATATTGTTTTAATCAATACTTTATATTTATTTTTTTAAAAGACAACAACAATAACCATCTACAGTTACTGGTGACCTTACAAAAGCATGCCTTGCTAGTTTTCATCAATTTTTACCTCTTACTAAAAAAAGAAAAATCTCACCTTGTATAAGGTATTTCTAAAACAAGGAAGTGGCCAGAAAACAGGGAGAGGGAGGAAAGCTAAGGGGAACAGAATGCAAGAAACCTGCTTTCCTCACTGAGTAGCTGCCTTGGCTTCTGAAGGCTATCAGTCATCAATTGCTAGGATCAAGAAGAGAGTAAACATTGCAAAATATTGGGAAAGAGAAGCTACAAACAAAATAGTGGGAAGTAAACAGCTTGACTTATAAGATAAATTGGACATAGAAAAGAATAATCTCAGAAATTAACATAAGCCTACAGGCTTAGAAAGAAATAGGTCTGAGTGGGCTTGGAAATGAACATAAACACAACTGGCATAAAGCCGTGGAGTGGGGAGAGATTGAAAGTGAGCAATGCCATAGTCTGCCCAGGGAGAAAAGAGCTCATCTCTGGAAAATTGGTCCTTTCTATAGGTAGGGACACGTTCAATCTTTATCATTATCTAAAATGGTTAGGAGAAGGTGGAGTGGGTGTCAACCTGCTTGACAGTTTTCTCTGGGTGAGAGTGGAGGTATGGTCTGCTTTGTAACACTCTGTTCCACTTGTCTTCTCACCCACTCCTTCCTTGCTCTTTATACCTTTTGTCCTCTTTCCCTTTCTTCTTTTCAGTGCTGACAGGCCTGTCCAAGACACAGAAGTACCCAAGATTGTTGTTTAACCCTACTTGTGTCATGGAGCTCATAGGAGACTGGCTACGCTTGGAATATGAAAAGCTGTTTGGAGCTATTTGATTCCAGTAAGGAGCATTATGACTCTTCACTTGGTTTTTTTTTTTTTTTTTGGTTACTTGAGACCAGAGAGGAAAACTTGCCCAAAGACTATAGTTTTCAGTGACCATGTCTTCCCTGAAGCCGCCTATTCAAATATTGTAGGCTGCAGGTTACATCTGAAGTTGCTACTGCTGATGCTGCTATGCATTGCTGTCTGTCTCACAATGTGTTTCTTCGAAGCCTTGTGTAGGTTGGTGTTCATTTTCACCTTGATGGAATCTAGGATCAACTGGAATATGGGCCCCTGGGCATGACAAAATAATAAATCATCTAATAAAAATGGACACATTGGCTGAAAATGGACCCATGGTCAACACAACTTGCCTTTCAACCATGAGGGCTAGAGTTCAGGTCCTAACACTCATTTGGGTGACTCACAATCACCTGTAACTCCAGCTACAAGGATCAAGTGTGATGTTTTGGCTTCTGTGGGCATATACACACAACTGCACATATACTCACATAAGACACATGCACAAAAAATTTAATTTACAAAACATAAGTGCAAAAAAATGAACACATAAAAATGTTCAAAATGTCTATCAAGGATATGCAAATCAAAGCTACTTTTAGATGGTGGTATAGTAACATGTATTTCTAATTCCAGCACTTTGGCGATAGAGGCAGGAGAATTGTGAGTTTCAGGGTCAATGTGCGATATAATGATTCTTGAAATGTATATTTTCTCATCTGGAGCTGGAGGCAAAGACCCCAAAGTAGTAAACTTGCATTTATCCAGGTTGTGGGAGTCAAGTTTGTAAACAAAAGAATTCAAGTCTTAAATTTATAATAAACATTTTAATTCCTTTTTTGCTGAGAGCTGGCATGGGAGTTTACAGCAGGTGACAGTTAGTGTTCAGCAGGCCCATCAGACACATGATTCCCTGCTGGGGGTATAGCACTTTTAGCTGAAGAGTGGCACTGTGCTCTGTGCTGCTGGGTAACAGAGTAGACTAGGGAAGCCCCACCTTTAGGAAGAAGCTTTCATCCTTATTGAGGAGTGTCTTAATTTCTTCACTGCTGCTGTGACAAAAACAGCTTTTGGAAGGAAGGGTTTGTTTAAGCTCACAGTTCAAGGCATAAGCTATCATTGCTGGGGGATCTGAAGCAGGAAGATTCTGGAGCAGTTGGTCACATTATGTCTTTAGTCAGAAGACACTGTTAAACACATGCTAGCACTCAGTGCCCTTTCTCTAAGCATGTAGTCCATGATCCCTGCCAGGGAACGACACTGCCAAGAGTGGATACAGCATCTCATATCAATTGAATCACATCATCAAGATAATCTTCCATAGTGATATCCAGAGGCCCATCTCCCAGTTGATCCACTCACTGTAAGTGGACTATTTCATATATAGACGATTCTGAACTGCATAAGATGGAGAGCAGGTTGAGTACTCTTACGCATGCATGCACCTATTGCTACATTGATCTCTGCTCTTGACTGTAGATGTGATGTGACTGTTCAATGTCTGTGCTGCCTTGACTTCTTCAAACTAATAGACTGTAACCTGGAATTGTGAGTAAGTCCCTTCTCCCCATGCTGATTTTAATTTGTCAAGGCATTTTATCACATCAATAGAAACAAAACTAGAATGGATGGTGAATATAGAAATAAAAGTAGAATTAAGGCTTTTAAAATTATTTTATTGTCCTTTTTGTGGGTTTAGAGCTCTTAAGGTTCAGTTTCAGTTATGGCAAGTTTGGAGACTTGATTGGAACAGCAGTAGATAGTTAAGGGATTGCAAGCATGAAACATGAAGGGAAGGCCGAGGTTGACACTGTGATTGTGAGACTCGTTAGCCAATAGTAATAATTGAAATCAAATAATGGAAGAAACCGGCCTCTGTGAGCTCCTCCAGTTTTCCAAGACCTCGGCCCAGTTCTACTTTTTAGAGCAGGTGAGGAATGAGGGAGGGTTAGTGCAAATCACCATTGTCAGCTTCCTCCACTCAAAATCCCAACTGTGGCTGTTTTGTGTTAGGGCATTGTCTTTCTTTTTATTAGTGTCTGAATTGACATATCTTCCATACCATAGTGCGTAATAAAAGACTTCACTCCAGGTCTGTAAACTGATAATTTTGCTGCTGTAAACTGATAATTTTGCTGAATACATAAGTTAAGAAATACAAATGTGTCTGTGAAAGGAATGGGAGGAAGCTGCAACTTGATCACTTTGGTTGGGAGCAGGAATCAGGGAAGGTGAGACATTCCAAATAAAGGGAAGTAGGACTTGTGAATAGTTCAAGGTGCCTGAGTTGATGAGCAGATGGGGTCCAGAGCAAAGGATGATTAACCTGGACTTTCAACTTTATCTGACTGAGAAAAAAAAATCTAGGAATTAGTAAAGCACATCTTTGGATGCCTATGATAG